ATGTAATACAGAACATGTAACTACAGAACACAATGTAATACAGAACCCATGGTAATACAGGACACAATGTAATACAGAATCAATGGTAACTACAGCACACAATGTAATACAGGACACAATGTAATACAGAACCCATGGTAATACAGGACACAATGTAACTACAGAACCCATGGTAACTACAGGACACAATGTAACTACAGAACACATGGTAACTACAGAACACAATGTAACTACAGAATCAATGGTAACTACAGAACCCATGGTACCTACAGGACACAATGTAACTACAGAACCCATGGTGACTGCAGAACACAATGTAACTACAGAACACATGGTGACTACAGGACACAATGTAACCACTGAATCAATGGTAACTACAGGACACAATGTAACTAAAGAATCCATGGTAACTACAGAACACAATGTAACTACAGAATCAATGGTAACTACAGAACACAATGTAACTACAGAACCCATGGTAACTACAGAACACAATGTAACTACAGAACACATGGTGACTACAGGACACAATGCAACTACAGAATCAATGGTAACTACAGGACACAATGTAACTACAGAACCCATGGTGACTACAGGACACAATGCAACTACAGAATCAATGGTAACTACAGGACACAATGTAACTACAGAACCCATGGTAACTACAGGACACAATGTAACTACAGAATCAATGGTAACTACAGAACCCATGGTAACTACAGAACACAATGTAACTACAGAATCAATGGCAACTACAGGACACAATGTAACTACAGAATCAATGGTAACTACAGGACACAATGTAACTACAGAACCCATGGTAACTACAGGACACAATGTAACTACAGAATCCCATGGTAACTTACAGAACACAATGTAACTACAGAACCCATGGTAACTACAGGACATAATGTAACTACAGAACCCAGTGACTACAGGACACAATGTAACTACAGAACACATGGTAACTACAGGACACAATGTAACTACAGAACTCATGGTAACTACAGGACACAATGTAACTACAGAACCCATGGTAACTACAGGACACAATGTAACTACAGAATCAATGGTAACTACAGGACATAATGTAACTACAGAACACATGGTAACTATAGGACACAATGTAACTACAGAACCCATGGTAACTACAGAACCCAATGTAACTACACAATCAATGGTAACTACAGAACCCAATGTAACTACACAATCAATGGTAACTACAGAACCCAATGTAACTACACAACCAATGGTAACTTCTGAATCAATGGCAACTACAGGATACAATGTAACTACAGAACCCATGGTAACTACAGGACACAATTTAACTACAGAACCCATGGTAACTACAGGACACAATGTAACTACAGAATCATTGTTAACTACAGAGCCCGATGTAACTACACAATCAATGGTAACTACAGAACCCAATGTAACTACACAATCAATGGTAACTACAGGACACAATGTAACTACACAACCAATGGTAACTACAGAACCCAATGTAACTACACAATCAATGGTAACTACAGGACACAATGTAACTACAGAACCCATGGTAACTACAGAATTTATGATGACTACAGGTAATTCGAATAATCACTCATGACATCCTTCAGATCTTGTCAGTTTTTACTATTCAAATTATTCATTTCCAACAAAACAATAACGCTTCAGAACGTTCATGGAAGCAATATTGGGCAAAGTCATTCAACAATATGGATAGTAATAATGCAACACAATCATAAAAATTGTTCTAATTGAACATTACAGATTTAATTCACTTTCGTGAAAATATTGAACATTCTTTAGTTTTTGCTATATTTCGACTTCATGTGATTTTGATAGTATTTTCCTTTGTTCACACTAGTCCTTTTCGTGTAGATTCAAACGAATGTATTGTACGTGATATTGGTAATGCTTGATGACTGTTGTCACTTTCAGATTGTCCTTTCATCAATCCCGAGGGTTACTGTTCAAGCAATTTGTATATATTTGGATATTATGAAGAAATTCCCCCTGCAGCCAACAAATCGATAGGGGACATCAGTAGCGAAGTCCCAGAAGGGGCCGTTGTAAACTACACAATAGTAGAAGAAGAAGAAAGCACAGTATTTAGAGTTGACTCAGATGGGGTTATATATCCACTAGTCCCATTGGACAGGGAGATAGTAGATGCATACACGTTTACCGTTGCTGCGACTGGTTGTCAGTTCACAAAAACTGTTCCTGTTCATGTAGATGTAATTGATTTGAATGACAATCGTCCAATATGGCAGCAAATGGATTATAATGTATCGTGGATTGATGGAACAGCTGCAGGTGTTGCAATTGTTATCATGTCAGCTACTGATTCTGACATAGGTAACAACAGTAGACTAAGTTATGAATTAGAACCACCGTTTGAGGAGTATTTTTCAGTAGTTGACAATGTGGTGGCCAACATCGATCAACTGTTTCTGTCCGAGTTTATAAACGACGACAGAATAACCGTTCATGACAATAAGTTCACATTTGCAGTTCAAGTATGGGACAACGGTGATGAACCCAAAAATGCAACTACTTTCGCAGAGGTACATGTCAGTATAACGAGTCAAGTAGAGGAAGGATTTGTAAACATTACACTGCAGTCAGTGTTTGTATATGAGAATCAGCCAAATGGAACATACGTCACTACAATTTTATCTGAAACAAGTGATGAATATGAAGTGATATTTGATGTTGCCGGATTGTATGATTTGTTTGAAATTGATCCAATAGATGTAAGTCTTTCTTTATTTTTTTCTTTATTTTTGTTTTTTCTTTATTTCTTTCTTTATTTATTTCTTTCTTTATTTATTTATTTTCTTTCTTTCTCTCTCTTTCTTTCCTTCCTTCTTTCCTTCCTTCTTTCCTTCCTTCCTTCCTTCCTTCCTTTTCATTGAGTGACCTTATGTCTTTATTAAACTAAATGTTACCACGTGCAGGGGAATTTGACAACCAAGAGAGTGTTTGACAGAGAGATGAAAGACAGATATCATTTGATAGTCAATGGATACATTGCCGATTATACAAAGTGCTTTACTTACCCGGTAAGTTGAATAAATAATTTATATCCGTGTTTAGATACTCTTCGCGGAACCTTTGTTATCATATGATATTTCATCATTAAATTGTATGTACACGTATGTTTTGCCTTGCATATCAAATGCTTACCAGTCCTACGCAAAATATTTTATTTCTCCATTGTCCATCTGATTATTTCTACCCAGATTGCTGAAGAACTGATCATAGACATATTGGACATGAATGACAACTATCCTGTATTCACCTATTATATGTCATCCGGCTCAGTTGCTGAAAATTCGCCACCCAATACAACAGTGATAATGGTAAGTGTGAGATCAAATTGAGTTGATTCTAAATGTGCTATTTCAGATGACTGATTTATTGATTGATTGATTGATTGATTGATTGATTGATTGATTAGTTCATTTTCTGATTGATTGAACTAGGTGCCCCTCATTGAAGCCACTGATGCCGATATCAATAACAACTCTGCAATAGTCTATTCACTGTCTGGCGATGGCAGTGACCAATTCCAAATCGATGAAATAACTGGCATCATTACAACTTCCAATAATATCAATGTTCTTGATTTGGACCGTGAAAAGCAAGATACGTACAAACTCACTGTTACAGCAGCTGATATGGGCGGTGATGTTGACAATTTCAATACTTCCATACCTATTGTTATCTATATCAGTGACGTCAATGATAACACACCGGAATTTAATGAGACATTATATGAATTTGAACTTTCAGAAGATACGCCTGTTAATTACGTCATAGGCACGCTAATAGCCGAGGATTATGACATAGGGATAAACGGTCGTGTATTATATTCTACGGTGGATGGTAGTCATGGTGATTTTGACATTGACACTTATTCTGGTGATTTATTCGTTACTGGGTTATTGGATCGTGAATCT